ATATATTAATACCAGAAAAAAAGAGACTTTTAAATAAAAATAATTTATTATGAGACAAAGGGCACTATATAATCATAAGAGGATCAATACTTCAAGACAGTTAGAAATATGCACAAAACATAAAAAAGCCCATAAGGTAGGAAATGCTGACAGAACTGAAGGGAACTAAATTGTTATTGTTCTCCAATGACAATTGGAGAATTCAAATACCCTACACTCAATAAGTTATAGAACATTTAGAAAAATCAGTAAGTAAAGTGCTTAACAATATTTTAAACCAACTATATCTAACAGATAAAAGCACAGAACACCCCAAATAATAAAGTACATTTATCTCTCAAGTGCACACAGAACATTCTTCAGTATAATCCATATTTTATGTCATAAAAAATTCTCAATTAGAAAATATTTTAAGACAAATGAAAACAAGAAAACACCACAATAAAACTAAAGGGATACAGAAGAAGCAGTGCTCAGAAGAAAATTTGTAACTATCAACACCTACATTGAAAATGAAAAAAACGCTCCGTTCCTCTGCTGCTGCAGCCCTGAAGGTAGAGCTCTGCAGTTTCAATGGGTACAAGATTTACCCCAACAAGGGAGGCGCTACGCCAGGACGGATGGAAAGGTTTCCAGTTTCTGATTGCAAAATGCAAATCGGCATTCCTTTCCAAGAGGAACTCTCAGCAGGTAAACCAGACTGTTCTCTATAGAAGGAAGCCCAAGAAGGGGCAATCGGAAGAAATTCAAAAGAAAAGAACCCGTTGTGCAGTCAAATTCCAGAGGGCCATCCCTGGTGCATCTCTTGCTGATATAACGGCCAAGAGGAATCAGAAACCTGAGGTTAGAAAGGCCCGAGAACAGGCTCTCAGGGCTGCCAAGGAGGCAAAAAAGGCAAAGCAGGCATCTAAAAAGACAGCAATGGCTACTACTAAGGCTACCACAAAGGCAGCACCTAAGCAATACATTGTGAAGCCTATGAAAGTGTCTGCTCCCTGGGTTGGTGGATAACGCTGTTAGCAAATGAGACTTTCTAATAAAGACACAATTATTAAAAAAAGAAAAAACATCAAATCAAGAATGTATCACTTTACACTTCACAGAACAAGAACAAAGAGAAACTTCAATTAAAGCTAGTTGAAGGAAAACAATAATATTAAAGGAGAGATTAATGATAATAGAAAAATTGTTAACATAACAAAAAATGGGTTCTTTGAAAAGATCAATAAAGTCACCAAACTGTTAGCTAGATTAAGATCAAATAACTGAGAGAGAAGATACAAGTAAATAAAATCAGAAGAAATAAGCACAAGGATGGTCTTACAGAAATCAAATGGATTTAAATTATACTATGTATTTATATACCAACAAATCAAATAATCTAGATTAGAGGTTCTCAACCTGTGGGTCACAATCCCTTTGGGGGTTGAATGACCCTTTCGCAGGGGTTGCCTAAGACCATCGGAAAACACATAAATATTTCACAATATATAATTACATATTGTTTTGTGATTAATCACTATGCTTTACTTATGTTCAATTTGTAACAATGAAAACACATCCTGCATATCAGATATTTACATTAGGATTCATAACAGTAGCAAAATTACAGTTATGAAGTAGGAACGAAAATAATTTTATGGTTAGGGTCACCACAACATGAGGAACTATATTAAGGGTCACGATATTAAGAAGGTTGAGAACCACTGATCTAGATGGAAATGAACAAATTTATAAAAATATACAAATTATTAAAACAAACTCAAGAAAAAAAACAGATCTCAAGACTTGTGATAAGTGAAGATTCTATCATTAATCAAAACTTTCCTAACAAAGAAAAGTTCAGGACCACATAGGTTCACTAACAAATTCTACCAAATATTTAAAGAGTGAAGATTATTCCTAATACAGTGCGCACCCAAAACAGAAAACCCTTTCATCTTCCACTGCTAGTAAAGCCAAGGGTACCATAAGAAAATGAAAAGGCCAGTGACCCTTGCATGTAGACACAAAACTCAAAAGAACACAAATAGAGAACCAGAAATGCAGAAAAAGCATTTGACAAAATTTTTAACATGTCTCATGATTAAAACACTTAGGACACTAGGGAAACACTTCAATATAACAAAAATATTTATATTAACCCATTGTTAACATGATACTCAATGGTGAAAAACCAAAAGCTTTCACCACTACTATTCAACACTGTAGTTAATGTTATATAGCCAGAGCAATTAGTCATGTCAAGAAAAAGAAGTAAAAAGCATGAAAATTGAAAAATGTGGTACAATGGGCTTCTCTTATATGGCACTGGATTGGTATTCTTACAAAGCACTGGCTAATTTTTTCTTATTATAAACAGCTTGCAGGCAAGATTGATCATCAGTTTACTGTGCACAAATGTAGCACAAAAGCGTCGGCTGACTATTTACATAACTGACTATTTACATAACCCCCCTAAAAACAAACACAGCAACCCTACAGCACAGAGCAGAACAGACACTCATCGGAGAAGACAGGCTCACCTTTCACCTGAGTGGATTTGAAATGCTGGCCCTGAGGTCAACAGCTCAGCCTGTAACCCACTCTATACCATCTGGGTTCCTATCCACAAAAGCAGCTTGCAATGATCAGTCAGTTTCTGACTCTCCCTATAGTTGACCTTGACTGGGACGGGCTGGAGGGCCCACCCAGTAGGTGATCGTTACTAAGATAAATTAGGGAGACCACGGGCAGATCGCTACAAAACAATGTTAAAGTGTGACAGAAACACAAACGTCACTTCAATAATTGAAATACAATGGACTTAGGCCCTGTTATTCTGCATTGCCTCATGTGCATGTGAAAGCTGGACGGTGGATAGGGAAGACTGAATATGAACGGACGCATGTGAAGTGCGGTGTTGGAGACTGAGCATGCCGCGGACTGTCAGAGTGAACAACCGCCTTAGAGGAAGTACCGTGAGAACGCCGCTTGGAGACAAGGATGGCAACAGACACGCTTATCAGGAAGGACCAGTTCCTGGAGGTCCCACCATGTGGAAGAAAAGTCGAAGGTGACAGGAAAAGAGAAAGACCTCAATGAGATCCACAGGCAGTGACGTCAGCAATGAACTCAAACAATCAACTGGGAAGACCTCCAGGACGAGGCAGTGTAGACAGGGTTCTACATAGGGCCGAGTGGGAACAATCCGGGGACTTCAAGAATGATGTGCAGATGACACAGCCTGACTTGCTGAAAGTGAAAAGGGCCCGGAGCACGCACATACTGAAGAAAGTGGAGCGCGGCAGCCTTCGGTGGAAAGAAAGGCAGAAACCCAACTGGACCACTATGTCCGTCAGGAGAAACAGACAACAGACTGCGGTTGTCCAGGATTTCATTGCACTTGGATCTACAATCAATACCCAGAGAAGCAACAGTCAAGAAGGCAAACATTTTGCATCGGGCAATCTACTGCAAAAGACTTCTTTAAAGTGCTAAATAGCAAAGATTTCACTATGAAGACTACGGTGAGCCCAGCTATGGTTTTTTCAATCACCTTATATGCATGCAAAAGTTAGATAATAAAAAAGATGGAAAAATTGATGCCTGGGAATTGTGGTGTTAGCACAGAATATGGAATATATCATCGATTACCAGAAGAATAAGCACCTCATGAAAGAGGGATAGTCAACAAGTTCCTTAGAAGAGAAGATGGCGAGATCTTACCCCATTGACTTTGGGCAAATTATTGGAAGAGGCCATCCCTAAAGCAGGACAGCATTTTAGTTGAGAATATGCAATAAAGAGCAAGATCCTCCGCAAGATGGACTGACCCACCAGCTGCAACCGCAGGTTCAAAGGTGGCAACCGTCAGGAGCATGTGTCACGACCAGGCAGTGTTTCAGTCTGTGGTACCAAGTGTCAGAGGCAACAAGGTTGTTATTGGGAGCTCTAGTGGCTCAATGATTAAGTGCTTAGCTGTTAATTGAACTACCGGTGGCTCCACTATCATGCAGAGTTGCTATGAGTTGGAGTTGACTTGATGGCACCCCCAATTACAGTTGCTAAAGATAAATAAATAAAAATATTAGCTTACCTAGCCAACACATGGTCTAAGTTGTTCTTCAGAGATATATTTGTAAGTATAGCTTCTAAGTGTCTCCTGCAGACTTCACCATCTAACGCTTCAGTTTCTTCGCCTTAGTATACAATAATTTAGAACTGAGTTAGGAAACGATTTTTCACATGCTCATATGATCACGTTTATTTTTAACAGAAATATTTTTAATAGAATTTTAAATCACACAAACATATGTATTTTTCAACCTATATTCATGTGTATTGCATCTAATTAGTGGCTTATCTTGTTCAAAGGGCTTACGTAGGGTTTATGTACATACATTACACTCATTTGTCTTTTACCTGAGAGTCTATATATTTTAAACAGTGTTATCATACCTATTTCATTAGTGAAACAAAAGTCTATAAAATATACATTATTTCTCTAGTTGATATCTTAAGTTTGTAGTGAGGTTAAAACACAAAGCAACCAAGACCTGGAGAAACTATCTCTGAAAACTAGCTAAAGTTCCATTCAGCACCTCGATACTGAAGTAGAGGCTATCATTTTCTACTGCAGATTGATTTATAAAAGTATAAATCTCTGTTTTTCAGGTAGAAACTGTTTAGGAATATAGATTTAAGGAAAAAGCAAACAAACAGAATTTGAGGCTTATCAGTCAGTTAACCAGGCTATCCCTTGAGCCAACTTTTCTTCACACTCTAATTTTTCCCACTTGAGAAAAAATAGCTGAGCTACAGAAAAATAACTGGATAGCTAATATTCCAAATATTTAAGATACTGAACAGGATGTGGTTCCTATTTTTAAGAGACTCAAATCTTAGGAAATAAGTTTCTGGACACAAAATGCACCCCCTCTTACCTCTAACATGTCGAATGATGGAAGCAACCAGGTGGGGAAGCATGTAACGCAGCAGAGGGCTGATGTCGTATGTTTCAGCAATTCCATGAAGTATTGTAATAAGATCAGGAACATTACATAAGTGAGGAAATGGCCTTCAAAGAAGCAAATACACATGATGACTTTACATGTTAGCTAAATTCACTATTTAAAATCATAGTTATCAACTTCTAAAATTAAAAAAAAAATAATTTCACCTGTAATTATCACATCTCAATTCAATTATACATACTTTTTTCCCAGCCTATCTGGCTTCTGTCTTTGCAGGAGCACTATCAAGCAGCCTAGTCCATCCTTGACCAAAGAGGGGATTCTGGTTAATGTTTTGATGATTTGGAATGCCAATGAATTAACAGAGGTATCTTCTAGTGTCACCTTCACAGCAATTTGACATATTATCATGTATGTCGCGGCTCTGTAATCTGGCAAAGATGATTTCAACCCCTAATGATAAAAAGATTAAAAACACATACATTATTTTATCCAATTTTAAAATGTGGCTTCACCTTGACTAATTAAAACCCTGTAGTTATAGTTAGAGCACAAATTGAGAGTCCACCTACTCTTAAGGGGACACAGAAATGAGAGTATTCTTCTAGATTAGGAATGGGACCTTGGGCGACCCAACTGAAAACATCCCCGCTACACAAACACTGCCTGCAAGTTCTTCTTTTATTTATTTATTTAAACAAATTTTTAGTTGCTTTTATATGCAAACATCTTCTTGTAAATAAGAGACTTCCAGCAGGTGACTAACATTTAAAAAAAAGGGGGGGGGGTCTGATTAAATATGACAATAATTATGGGACACTAGTAAGAAGCAAAAAAGCTGCCCTTCAAGTGGGAGTCGGGGAAGGCCGTAGCAACAAGGTACTTGAGATGAGACAGCGTTAAGCACCAGAAATCAAGGCACAGACTGCCAATGCCCACAACAGATTTTCTAATCCACTCACTTGCTAGGGTGGTAACATGGCTCTTAATAGTTAGTGGCAAGACCAAGAAGCCAACCCTAATCCTTTTTTAAACAACAGTTTTATTGACATATTAACATATAATTCTCACATTATACACTTCAAAAGTTAGGTCATATGAAAAGGAGTTGTAGTCATCACCACCATCAGTTCCAAAACATTTTCTTCCTTCTTGTTCTCAGTGCACTAGTTCCCCATTTCCCTCCAACCTCCCCCCACAAATCCACAGTAAACTATTAATCCAGTTACCGTCTCTACAGCTTTACCTATCCTGGATTTCATATAATGCAAAACAGACAGCACCCACCCAACCCCAGCAACAGAAAAACCAAAACATTAACAAAGTAAGCCAGAGAAAAACCTCAATTGAAAAGCAGGAAATATTAAAATCCAAAACAAATTTAAAATGGGTCAAAAGGCAGACCAGATGATAAGGTATTGCATTTTAACTTAACTACATCTGCCATAATCAACTTTACGATGTGCTTTAATAGCAAGATTATTGACATTCCTCAACTACGATCAAAGGGGATTCCCTGAGACTTAATCCATGTAGGGATGCAGCAAACGCTCAGTCATCCCGAGGCAGAAGACAATTTTAGTGATCTCTCTCCCACTGCCATCGAGTCAATGATGAGCTATAACGACTCTATATGACACGGTGGAACGACCCCTGTGGGGTTCCGACTAACTTCATGGGAGAAAAAAGTCTCATCTTTCTCCTATGGAGCAGCTGATGGCTTTGAACTGCTACCTTCCAGATCGCAGTCCAACATATAACCACTACACCACCAGGGCTCCTATTCTATTGATAAGGTCATTAATTTATACACTGGTATAGAATGTAACACACTGTTGAGAAAAGGAAATTATACAAGTATAGCCTGGATTCAAAGCATATTACATGAGTGCTCCTTTGTACAGATTATATTCCTAAGTGACTGGACACTACTTACACTAACAAAAGGAGTTAGTAATAGGGCAAAATTTCCAGTAACACTCATTCACAAATGCAGAACCATTCCCATCACACTAATGCATGCCATAAGAAAGCAAAGAGAGCACTAATATAGTAATTACATAGTAATCCATCATTTACTCTTAAAGAGCTCTAATTAAACTTCTACTGTGGTAATTTCTTGAGCAAAAATCTATTTTTACTTAAAAATTAAGCCTTTCCAATCGTTTGAAGTAAGTTGTCAGTTTTTAAACATCTATGTCTAATGGAAAATTTCAAAAAGCAAAACCATTCCTTAAGTATAGATTTTTTACATTTTACACATGAACATAACAAACCTTCTGGATGTATGGAAACAGCTTGGCGACTACATTGTCTGATATGTCCTCAGCAGCCACTAAAGCAGACACGATGGTGGAAGCATAAAAAGTCAACAGCACCCTCAGCTGAGCGGAGCTTCCAGGACATTCAGCAAAAACCTGAAACAAAGTAACCAAATCAAAACACTGGAAAGTGAGAGACCCACTAGATACAAATACATACACTTACAGCTAAACTGAACTATTCCGCAGTTTGACACATTTAATTTTGCCAAATGCAAACTCTGAACAAATACGCGCAGTCAATGATTCAAGTCAGTGTGAAAAGAACGATCTGCTGAACAAGCTTCCTGGCATTTGCATATTGTCGCCGAGTTGGATAGTCACTGTAAACACAATTCAGCAAGGAACAGTGATTGGTTTTTAAACAAAAACCTATTCTGTACATGAAAATACTGATTCTCAAATTGCTCATCCTTCCACACAGAACTGCTTTCAATGGAGCACTGGTGGGACAGTGGGTGATGCAATGGGCTCCTAAAAGCAAAGTCCGTGTTTGCACCCACTGGCTGGGCTCAGCAGATAGATGAGGTTCTCTGCTCCTATACAGATCTGCAGCCTCAGGAACCCAGAGGCTACGGTATCCTATAGCGCTGCTATGAGTGTAACTGACTGCAGTGCAGCTGGCTTTTTTGGTTTGGAGCCTTAGAAAAACATGCTGACACAATGCTTCAGTACATACTCCATTGATGTTACTGTGCTCAGATGGTCACTCATTGATGTTTAATGTTGATTTAATGATCCAAACATTGCCTGGTCTGCAATGAAGTGAGTGCCAGTGCTGGCATCCGCATAGTAAGGAATGGAAACTTGGGCCATGTTCAATCCTAAGGACATATGTAATGGACACATGCCAAATAGCTTTTATGACTCCAACGTCATTGTTATGACACTGATATTGACAAAGATCAGATTTATAAAACTACTAAGGCAATGAAAATGGCAGAGGGGAGGGTATTCAACTTAGGCCAGAATGAACTTACAACACAGGCATCCGCATGGAACTCCATCCTAATTTGAGGACTACCTGTATACATACTAAGGAGGCCTGGTGCTGTAGTGGTTATGTGCTGGACTATGATCCGCATGGTCCACAGTTCGAAACCACAGCTCCCAGAGAGAATAACTGGGCAGCAGTTCTCAATCTGTGGGTCATGACCCCTTTGGGGATAGAACTACCCTTTCACAGGGATCACCTAAGACCATTGGGAAACAAATATATAATTAAATATTGTTTTGTAGTTAATCACTATGCTTTAATTATGTTTGTGTTCAATTTGTAACAGTGAAAATACATCCTGCATATCAGATATTTACATTATGATTCATAGCAGTAGGAAAATGACAGTTATAAAGTAGCTACAAAAATAATGTTATGGTTGGGGTCACCACAACCTGAAGAACTGTGTTAAAGGGTCGCGGCCTGAGGAAGGTGGAGAACCACTGAGTTAGGGTATCAGAAACCCATAGGGGGCTGCTGTGAGTCAGCACTGACACAGCGGCAGTGAGTTTGGTTTTTGGTTTTATATACATATTACTCACCTTCACAGACTGTGCCACAAGACTACAAATAAAATCCATGAATCCAAGATCTTTGTAACAGTGAGTAATCAAAGTTCCTTTAGCTAAGGGCACTCCAGATTGCTGTTGATGATAGGAAGAGCAAGGGTATTTATCCAAATTCTTTAATTATTCTTCTAATAATAAATTTCCCATCCCTGTATTTTTATTAATACCTATCATCAGTAATATTAACTTTTTCCAGTCCATTACAGTCTATTAATCTATTGTGGTCTCCATTTACTCTCTTCCCTGGCCTGGATCACCATGCTCGAGATTCAGAGAAGTTTCTGCTAATATACTTGTACACCTCATGCAGACCCCCACGCCCCCTACATATTATGTAACAACGAGAAAAGCAAATCCTTTGGGTTTACTAGGAAAAAAATTATACTAGCTGATCTTACCCAGACCCGTTATGCAACCAACCATATTTTTACTCATCTATAAATAGCTTCCTAGCACCTTTTTCTTATTTAATTTTTTCTTCAAGTTTTCCAACTTATCTTTTTAATTTTTATAGGTGTTTTCAGCTCTTCCTCACTTCCACTTTTTAAACTTTCAGATCCAAAACTTAAAATACCAAACAGCATGGTACAATGGAAACACAAGCCTTTCAATCAGATCAAGCTGCCACCTTAGTGATATGAACCCTAGCAAAGAAATTCTCTGGGCCTGCCCTGATCTGTAAAAATGGAGACTTCTAAGATTCCAAGGTAATGTAATATCATTTCCTAGCCTGATGCAGATATTAATAGCTAGATGCTAGTAACAATAGTTTCAACTGGAAGTTAGGAAATACATGGTAAAATCTGGACTACTCCCAAGAGTGCCAACAACTTTATCATTTTCAAATTAACAACCCCTAGTTAAGACTTCAGATATGCATCACTCAACAATCATACCTTAACTGGCAACAACCAGAACCATTTGTGTTTAGGATTATTAATTTTGAGAAGCTGTATAACCCGCACAAATATTCTTGTTTCATGGTATGGCAGAACACAGGCAATGAGGCTATCTTCATTATATAGATGGATATGGAACCTGGGGGTAGGGGGGGGAAGCAAACAATTAAAATTGACCCCAAACTTATTTCCTTACATGTCCAAATCTAGCAAAGACATCTTATAAGAGTATTAGTAACAACAACTGTGTAATTATAAAATGACAATCTTAAAACTCTTAAAACTCTAAGCCTTCTATTTTACATCTAAATGCACCTGAATATGGTTCTGCAATTATCATGCACTGTTATGTCTGAATCTGATGTCAAAATGTACTCTGCATTTACTTTGTCACTCTCTTTCCACACCATTATGTCAATGTAGCTGTGGGATCGCAACAGTCAAACCTAAAGAGCTGCGACTGCTCCCCACAACAATGCCGAGCTCCTTCCCAGTCCCAAAGTCCATTTCCACAGCTCCCTCAATGTCCTCAGCTATCCTACTCCCAAAACCCAAAGACTGAAAAAGAAATCACCTTACTGTCTTTAGATCATAGTTACAGATTACATATTTTGGCCAGAAAATTCATATACTTTGTAGCTATCCCTCTACCCTAATATTCTGCTAATCAGAAGATCTGATTTAAAATTGTTCTCTCAGGCCCTCACTTGCTTCTGGAAGGGAAATCACCCTATCCCCATTCTCTAACTAATGAAATCGAACTAATCCTTCTACTTTAAAAGATTTTTGTGGTATTTACAAACCATGATAATTAGTACCACTGAATTGTACAGTTAGAAATGGTTTAAATGACAGTTTTTAATAGGTATTTTAATATAATAAAACTAAAACATACATATTGAGAGAATAAAATATGTTAAGTAGATGCAATTGAGAAAATACACTAAATAAATGGACTGAGATTTCCAAAGTAGATGAAAGAGTAGACCTTAGAACTAGACTTCAGATATTTCCTGTTTGCCACACGCTAGTTGTGTGACTCGGACAACCTAATACCTCTAATAAGCCTCAGTGCTCTCAATTTTAAAATGGAGATAATCTTCCCATTGGAACGTTGTAAGGATTATGGAAGATAAGGCATGCAAAATGATTACCAAAGGGACAAGAATATAAACACTAAATAAGTATGTTAGGCATTACTGTTTTGGTTTTTACGTTATGATACTTTAAAGATACTAATATTATCTTACCGAAGCATTAGTTAGCCCACAACTCGTTTTGTAATTCTAGTGCATACCTGTGAATCAACCACTCCAGACATTTCTGTGCTGGTTTAAGCAGGAAGTAAGGAGACAGGTGCATAAGGAATAAAGAAATGTTTTCATTCAGCTGTTTGTTCACTGCTTTGGTCTGAACACTGCGCTCCAAGGTCTTTGACAGCTGGCTGAACAAGGGTGCTTCAAACTGTTCCAAGGAAGGATCAATTCCAAGAAGCTCTTCCAGGCCGGTGCATCCTAAGAAAAGATGAATTGATTTCATAATTCTTTGCAAGCAAAAACAATGCCACCTCTCCTTTGGAGTTTTGATTGTTGTGAAGGCATTGTTGAGTTGGTCCCCAAATCATGGTAATCCCAGGGACAAAAAAAGGAAACATGGCCAGCTGTGCATTGGTCCCCCTAACTGGTTGTGGATCGGATCATTGTGATCCGTAAGGTAATCGCTAGGCTTTGCTTCCTACAGTGTCTTAGTCTGGAAGCTTCACTGATGCTTGTTCAGCATTACAGCAGCACCCAAGGCCCCACTGACAGATGGGGGTGGCTATACATGAGGTTTGCTGGCTGGAAAACAATATCCTTAAGGCTCTGAAATATTCCAGAATGTATAGTCTGTCAAAAACACATGCCACCTAATTGCAGCATATAGGTTAACTTTTATTTCACCAGCTATCAAACCCAACACCCAAATTCACTGCCATGGAGACTCACAGAGTCTAGAGTCGAAAGCCTCCAAGCCACCTCAAGCTGCTGACCTTGAAGCTTGTAGAAGTTAAAGGGCTCCAACTTCAGGACTAGAAAATACTCGATGGCAAACCCAGTCATTTTTTAAATTGAAGCCCCTACAGTGATCACGCCTGTTCTCTGGGTAGACTCCTCCACACCAGCCACATCCTCCAGCTCTCCCTTTAAATGGTCTTCCTCTTCAAAACCGTTCCTTAGCCTTGTTTCCCTACCTGTGAAATTCAGGCACCTAGCATTTTCTACTCCTGAAAAGTTAGTCTCAAATTTTTATTAAAAAAAACGACGGAAAAAAAAATAGAAAGAAACCGAACTTGACCAATGATTATCAGGGGTTAAGGAGAAAAAGTTGTTGCTTAAAGGGCACTGAGTTTATGTTAGTGATGGTGGAATAATTTGGAAACAGATAACAATAATGGCTGTACAGCATGAAGAATATAATCAATGGCACTCAATTACACATGGAGAAGTTGTGAAACTGGAGAATGTTTTGCTGTGTATATTTCTGCCACAATTGAAGAAAAATAATCAACATATATGAATAACAATGGGTACCCAAAACAATTTAGTCTCAAAAGCCAAAAGGGGCAGTTCTAAGCTGTCCTATGGGGTCACTGAGTCAGATCCACTCGATGGCAGTGAGAATGAGCGATTATAAGCATCTAGTACAGAGCTAGCAGATGCTAGCAGTTGATTTGTTCAATCAACGTTATAAACTAAATCAGCAAGTTAGAAACTGCTAAGGAAGAGGCGGGCACAAAAACACAGAAAACACATCACCACACAGAAAACAAACGCATCGGCGAGCTTTTCTGAGTTAAAGAGTAGCTTACCAATAGCAAAAGCGGTGTCCCTGTCGATGGTGGCCGCTTCCTTGGGGTCAAACAACAAAGAGGCCACTTCATCTCTGCACAGGAGACTGGGGTCGCTTTGAGGGAGGGCCAGTCGTTGGAGCTGCTGGGCTAAGGATGTCATCTTTCACGCCAGGGAAGGAAGCGGATCTCTAAAACTATAGACGATGAGATAAAAACTGTAAAGGGGGCTTAACTTAAACTGTAAGCAGTAAATGTCTCCCGTGCGGGCAATGTTTTCTGCGCCGAGGACACATACAATCGGCTGTCACGGAACTCGTGAATCCCAGCGAGGCCAACACAAAAAGCATGAGAACTTCAGTCTGGGGTCACGCTCAGCGTTCCTCCGACCGGGTCGCCCCGCATTCTCTCTCGGTCCCCACCCGGATCCAAGGCCACCGAGCGGCTCTGTGCCCTTTCTCACCGGACTCGGACCTCCGGCGGGACTTCCAGCGCGCGGCTACTGCACCCACATGGTACCCAGGACCGGAGCTCGGGCCGGAGCTTCCCGTTGCGTCACTACGGCAAGGGGAGAGGCTCAAGCTTGCTCGCAATACGACCAAATGGCCGCTTCTCGGCGGCGAGGCTCCGCCCCTCGGCCCGCCCAGCCTTCGCCGGCTGGTGTTCTGGGCTCGACCCAATTCCCTGCTCCGCGAGCGATTGGAACGCCTCGCTCTGCCGGGGCGGCCTTTGCGCGCCGGGCGGACGCAGGGAGAGAGACGAGACTTCCTACTTCCGGGCAGTTACAGCCTCGGAAACGCTGGAGGGCGGCTCTACCCCGTCCCGTGGGGCCCTTACGAGTCTGCAGTGATTCGATGGTTGGGAGGGAGAGACCTATGGTTGCAATCATTCTTTTAAACAACACAGCTTTTGTGCGAGCGGCTTCTCGCTCACTGACTCATAGCGACTCCCTTGTGGGTGTGTTTACGGGTAGGAAACCCCGACTTCTGCGGAGCCGCCGGTGGTTTTGAACTGCCGGCCTTGTGGATCGCAGCCCAACGCTGCACCACACATCACCAGGACTCTTCGCGAAGTGGTTAAACGTTTGGCTGTCCAGTTACCTAGCCTAGGTTCAAATGATGATGCTAGCTCGGATCATCTGTGAAATCGTTAACGAATTATTTAAGTCTCTCAGAATTCGTTACCTCTTTAAAATGGGAACAGACTGAGAATTAGTGAGATGAGCTGGGTTCTCATTCGAGGGTCTGACCAAAAAACAACATGAACTCACTGCCGCGAGTCAGGGCGCCTCAGCAACCCCCTCCGGTTTCTGAGACTGTAACGTTCCGAGAACAGAAAGTCAGGTCTTTCTCCTGTAGAGCTGCGGTGGTTTGGAATGGCTGATGGCAGCCCGATGCATGACCATGGCAGCACCAGTGATCCACACCGTTCGATAAATGGACACCAACATCCTGAGTCTTAGGGCCACCACGCCACTGGACTTGGTTTGCATTCCTGGAGGGCACCTACCGTACTTTTTTCTTTTCAAACTAACTTTGTACAAGCAATTGATAATAAATACATTCAGTTGAACAGTTAATTTTTAACCAAGTAATGTGTTCGTGTAGTTCTTCAGTGATACAAACAATTATGATTACCAGCACCTCCAAAAGAGACCCAGCAATCTGCTTCTGCAAAACCAGCCATAGAAACACTTATGGAACACAATTATACATAGCAACTGATTTTTGGCTATATAAGTGTAACTATCTCCAACCAAGCCATCGCATATATCCATCACCTAAAAACTTTCCTCTTGGACCATACTTCAACCTGTTGCTCCAAGATGTGAATGCAACATACCGGCATGAAGCAGGGAACCAATAGAGAAGTCTGAGGCCCCCGCCCCAATCCTAAGTACGTGGGCACTCCCCCTACCCCCCAGAAGACTTTACTTCAGAGGACAGCACTGAAGCTACAGCTCAGGGAGAGGGACATGTCTGATCAGAGCACACAGGAGCAAATGAAGGGGGAGAAAGAGAGTGGAGCACATGCTGGCCCACCAAGCCTTGAGGATGATAACCCTGCTCAGAGCAGCCAATGCACAGAGAGGACCATA